TCAGTTTTGATTTCCTGCTGACTTTAATGCGCTCTGCTCAAACTCTCTTTCAAATACTAGTATGAGAATATTAGTTGAAACTAAATGTGTTTTAATTAATTTTAAATTCTTGAGCAGCCTTAAGAAATCCATGCACATGAAAATCTGCTGTATCCGGCAGTTAAAAACTGATATACAAACCAGATGTCTGAAGTGAACTCCACTGAGGTTTCAGCTATGACCATAAGACCAAATGGAGCAAAACAAGAAGATCTGGACACAACCTCTGCATTTATTAAAAAAAGCGCATTGTGCGCACCTGTTTGGCCCACGGTAGAGAACATGCGGCCCGGGCCACACGAAGTTTGCTCTGTTCGCTAGTTGAAGTGATTCAGGGAGAGGTCAAAAGTGCAGGGCTATTCACTTGAGCTTTATAGATGTGGCTGTGTTTTTACCACGGTCCAGTTTTCCCACCTCTCTCCATGGGATTTCTTCTCAGCTGTCCACTACACGACACACACACACACACACAATCTCCCTCGATAGTCGCCCACAGCTGGGCTCTGGGAGGAACACATTCTCCGACAAACACAGATTTCACACTCTCACTCTTTCTCCGTTACACACACACGATACAGACAGGTGTTTGCGAGTAGAATTGCTCTCTGCTGACCGTTCGATTTATTTGCCTCTGAGAAGCAGATCTCATGCTGGAAGATTCTGTTAAGTCTCTTTTCAGTTCGACGTTTGCAGACAGGTGTTTGCGAGTAGAATTGCTCTCTGCTGACCGTTCGATTTATTTATGAGCCTCTTGAGAAGCAGATCTCATGCTGGAAGATTCTGTTAAGTCTCTTTTCACTCATTCATCCACGGTTAGTCATCAGCAAGGTGCTATTGTAAACATGTCTGACAAAACGTGTTGGTTGACTTTGCCACCCACTGAGGTGAAGTTTCTGCTCCTGTTTTGTGCATGAACTTTTCCATTGACTTTTGATAGAGAGATGTGAATTAAAATGCGATGTTGGTGTCTCATCTGAGTTTTGTTGTTGTGTTTGACAGTATCTTCAGATGAAATGGCCTCTTCTGGACGTTCCAGGCACGGCAGTACTCAGAGACTCACGATCACCTACTCCAGGACAATTAGTGAGTATCTCACTAACACACACACACACACACACATACACACAGTGGCCACTATAAGTATGCAGACACTTCATATGTCATTGCATCAGATGGAATGGACATTTATTGTACAGACAGATGGCACAAACACCATGACTTTCTCAGAATGCATCTCAGTTTTCTTTTTAGCAGAAGTAATTTATCTCACAACTCTGACTTTTTAGTTTCTCACAATTCTGCTTTTATAGCTTGTGATGCTGTTTATATCTCATAATTCTGCGTTTAAGTCTCATAAAGACTTTTTTCTTATAATTTTGCATTTACATCTCACAACCCTTCTGCATTTCTAGCTTGCAATTCAGCTTTTCTATCTCATAATTCTGCATTTATATCTCATAATTCTGTTTATATCAGGCAATGCTGACTGTTCTCAGAATTCTGCATTTATATCTCATAATTCTGTTTATATCAGGCAATGCTGACTGTTCTCAAATTCTGCATTTATATCTCATAATTCTGTTTATATCGGGCAATGCTGACTGTTCTCAGAATTGTGAATTCATATCTCTCAGTTGTGAGTTTATCTCACAATTCTGGATTTAAAGCTTGCAGTTATATTTCTTAACTCTGCATTTATATCTCACAATTCTGCATTTATATCTCATAATTCTGTTTATATCAGGCAATGCTGACTGTTCTCAGAATTCTGCATTTATATCTCATAATTCTGTTTATATCAGGCAATGCTGACTGTTCTCAGAATTGTGAATTCATATCTCTCAATTGTGAGTTTATCTCACAATTCTGGATTTAAAGCTTGCAGTTATATTTCATAACTCTGCATTTATATCTCGTAACTCTGCATTTATATCTCACAATTCTGCATTTATATCTCATAATTCTGCTTTTAAGTCTCATAATGGACTTTTTTCTTATAAATTTGCATTTACATCTCACAATTGTTCTGCATTTCTAGCTTGCAATTCAGCTTTTATATCATAATTCTGCATTTATAACTCATAATTCAGACTTTTCTTCTCAGAATTCTTCATTTATATCCAATAATTCTGTTTATATCAGGCAGTGCTGACTTTTCTTGTCAGAATTAAACATTTGTAGATTGCAGTTTTGTTTTGTATCTCATAATTCTGACTTTTCTCAGAATTGTGAATTCATATCTCACAGTTGTGAGTTTATCTCACAATTCTGAATTTAAAGCTTGCAGTTGTTTATATTTCATAATTCTGCATTTATATCTCGTAACTGCATTTATATCTCACAATTCTGCATTTATATCTCATAATTCAGCGTTTATATATCGGAATTATGTTTATATCTCGTACTTCTGCATTTATATCTCATAATTCTGTTTATCTCGTTCTGCATTTAATCTTGTAATTATGCATTTCTTATGATTCTGTTTATATCTTGTAATTCTGCATCTATATCGTGCAATTCTGACTTTTTGTGAAGAAAAACTTTTGAACTGGGGGGGCTTTGTGCATCTATTGAAAGTCAATGCTACCAAAATTTAAAAGCTTCAAAATGTACATAAAGACTTCAAACTGAAAATAAAAATGTAAATAGAAGATGTAAATAAAACAAAAATCATTGGAGTATGTTTTACATCACATTTTTTGGGTACATCAATGTAATCCATATTAATCAAGAATTTTATTCTGAAGAGAGACAATAACTTTGTTGAACAGAATAATTTATGCTTTTATTCGTATATAAACATTGAACAATGCATAACATACAAGCACAACAGATAAAGTAAATGGAACGTGCACATATTTGATGAGCTTTATGTATATGCAACCCTCTACATTGCGAGTAAATCACTCGCATATGCGACTAAATCTTCACTCTGGGCGACTAAATGATGTCTAATATTAGCCAATTGCTAATAAATTCTCAGATTTTACTCGCCAGTGTGAATATATCAGTCTGGCGAGTAAACAAAAAAATTTACTAGCCAATGGCGATTTAATTGCCAAGGTGTTCGTAGAGGGCTGATATGTGCACTGATCAGTGTTTAAATATATTTAATATTGCCATTTTTGTTCTGCAGATGAATGAAAGTCTTATGGGTTTGAATGGACAGAATTTTCAATTTTTACATGCCAAAAACTATCCCTGTAACGTCAGCATGAAATTAGTTTGAAAAGCATGAAAAGTAATTCCATGCATTTTATTTATGATCTTATTGTGAATGAATCATTCACATGTTTGTTTTTGTTGACGTGTATACAAGGTCACACTGAATTTAAGCAAATTACATTCAGATGTTTTTTTTCCCCCCATACCAAATCCCTAATGTGTTTTTAATAGTTGTGTCAGGTAATCTTTATTGATGCACATAAAGGCTACCTGAGCTTGTTTTGATTTGTGTAATTGATGTGGATGACCATGCAAAGCGTTTGCTTTTGTTTGGTGTGCAATGAGAACCGCTTTTCTGAAGAGGAAAAAATCAAAAAGCCCAGTGTTTCCAGCCTACAGCGTATTTGAGAATAAAATTAATTTATTTTATACTGTACATGGTCAGTTATAATCAAGCAGTTTTGGTTGCCTGTAGGTGCATACCAACTAATGAAAGCTGTTTTCTCAGTGATTCTGGCTCAAACCGGAATGAGTGGTACATATATTTCACTGCTTAGTGTACAGTGATCGCTGCTGGATAAGAGCGAGCTTCCCTGTTGGGCAGATCTGTGTGAATTCCAGTCAGGCAGGTTGGAGGTCAGGAGGTTTGCAGGATGGTAGTTTGTATCCTCAGCAGACCTCTGTGGTTTGATTCACCTCTGGTAAGCTGATGAGAGGTGATAAATTTAACCAGAGCGTTACATTCTTGCTGCGGTGGATGTGCAGTGCTCATGTTTATTCAACGAAGTCAAACGGCACAAATAAATCAATGTATGGGAAACTGGTAATGTATATCGAAATATCGGAAATGTGTTTAAAAATCATATCACCGTTATTGAAAAAAATTATATCGCGATACATATTGATATTGAATTATTGTCCAGCCCTAGTGTGTGTGTGTGCGCGAGAATGTGTCAGGATGAAACATGCAAACACACAACATGAGGAACCTCAGAGGGTGAGTCAGGTAGACTGACCCGTACTAAACCGGTTTCAAAGCAGAGTAGGTGAATGAGTGACTTTTCTGCACGCAGATATGATCATCAAACTTTAAACATCTAATACGTGATTAATCAGTATTGTTTAATGTCAAATTTATTGTAAGAAATCATTAACAAACATTATACAATAGATAATCCACACTGAAATTAAGAATAAAAAAGTATTGTTTAATGTCAAATTTATTGTAATAAAATGAACACTATAAAATGTATAATTTGCATGGAATTTAAGAACAGAAAAGTGTTGTTTAATGACAAATTTATTGTAAAAAATTTACAGACATTGTATAGTGGATAATACACACTGAATTTGAGAATAGAAAAGTGTTAGGTTTAATGTAAAATTTATTGTAAAAAAAAATTAACAAACATTATAAAATGTATAGTTTACATGGGATTTAAGAATAGAAAAGTGTTGTTTAATGTCAAATATATATGTTTTTTAATTAACAAACATTATAAAGTGGATAATCCACATTAAATTTTATTTATTGTAAAAGATAAGAATATAAATAGTGGGAAATTATAAAATGAATTAAATAAAAATGGTTAAAATGAAAAAAAAAAGTCTGATTATTTTTTTATTTGGATTAACCAATTTATGGATTATAATAGAAGTAATGGATTTTATAAAACAAAGCATTTGGAAAAGTTTTTACTTGGGTTACTCTTAGGGCTGCACGATTAATCGAATGCGATTGTCATGCGCATTTTGTTAGTAAAGCCGGTTCTGTAATCAGCAGGAAATCATCATCACGTGCTTTCAGATGGAGCAGCATTTACTACACAGAGCCGTAGTTCACTGACAAGTTACGCAAAAAAATCTTATTTTTCACATTTAATAACACGTTTTTACTCCAAACTCACTTCATAACGTCAGTCGAGTGTTTGAAATAAATCCTTCTGTGAGATGATGTGGCTTCTTACACAGAATAAGGCACGCAACATATTTCATAGTATTTAAGCAGTGATAAAGGCATTGCATTATAAATATACTTTATTTGAATGAAAATTATAATAATAAGAACTCAGATAAACCGTATATTGCCGCAGTCGTGTGTTTATTAGTCACGTTGAATCAATGAAAGCAGCTGAATCTTCTGTTTATTCAGCTGCAGCAATAGGCATTTCCTGGGTTTCTTCTGC